CAGAGGAGCATTGCTGGAGAGGGGGGATTCCAACCCAATCTGGGTGTTGGGGTGTACCCCAAGGAAGGTAAAACCAGAGCTGAGACTCCAAAAAGTGGGCGTTAATCAGGCCTGAGGCAGAGGGAAGGGTGCTTGAAGCACAAGGAACAGGGCACCAAAGGCCAGAGGACACAAAGACCTTGTCAGAAGAGCTGCAATGACTCTAGTTAGGATGGGGAAAATGACCAGGGATGTGGCCAGCAAGGAAGCTTTGACTGCCAAGCGTGAGTAGTCGGCACCAAGGAGCTATCAAAAGGCCCGATGTGTCTATGACATCAAATCTCTACGTTAGAAAGATCTTTTGGACAACATTGAAGAGGATTATTGGAATGGGAAGGGAGTGGTTGAGGAATGACGAGGACCTTTCAACAGGCTCTCATAGTTTAGTAGAGGAAGTGAGACATATTTGCAGGTGGCACCAATTATTCCAGACGGCACTCGAGCATTGGCACAGGTGGGATAGACAATAGGTGCAAGGGGGGCTGGTCAGGAGGAGAGGAGCAGAAGGTGTGTGGGAGGGGGCGGAGCCCAGGGCTGGGGGAGTATAGGGAGCACTAACGGTTTGATAGAAGAGGTAACAGAATTGTCTATTCAATTTGATCGAAACTGCCAGAGAGACACAACAGATTAATGTAGCTTCAGAGATACGAGTTGTTTCACCAAATTGGACAGACCAAGAAGACTCTTCAGAAGGACGTGTTCCAAATTTATCAGACTATAAAGGGAAGAAACAGGCTGACAATGGATTGGTTTGTCAAATTCTGGAACACTGGAACTGTGGGACAACTCTTGAGGTTCAAATAAAAAGAGGGAGCATGAAGTCATCATAGTGATTTCCCTGAAATATACTCTGGATTCCATTAGTTGAGCCTCTAAACCCTTTGAACAGTTTCCAAGGCCACAAGATGGAGACAAAGCATTTTTCCCATCTGCAGTATGACTTTGCTTCACCATTCCAGCTTCATCTTCCTCTACAGCAGAACCCCTCTGCTCTAGTCAAAAGGAACTACACAGACTGCCTCTTGGGACTACCTACACGTTCCCAACTTAACCTCTCTGCTTGCCAGAAGTACCCCGTGCCTGCCTCTCCATATGTCTTAATCCTTTTTGTATTTTCAAGTGGAGCTGAAATCCCATCTCTTCTGGAAAGTCTACCTTTTTCCTCCAAATTCAAAGGGATCTCTTCCTTTTCTGCATTCTAACAGAATATAATTGTCTTTAACACTCATTACACATTCACACCTTCTCTTGCATTGTTACTCCTTCATAAGCCCTGAACCCTGTCTCCCCAATTAGATGATAAACATTTTGAGGTTGGGTATGTATTGTTGCATAACAAACCACTCCAAAAGTCAGTGGCTTAAAATACCCATTTTACTATATCTCTTGATTTTGTGGAATAGCAATTCAGGAAGAGGTTTAGCTGAGTAATTCTGTTTCATATAGAGTCTTCAGAGTCACATGGTGGGATTTAGCAGGTGCATAGACTAGTACAGAGGGTACAAGGTGTCTTCACTTACATTTCTGGGGCCGTGGCTGGGAGACTGGGCTCTCAGCTGAGCATGCTGACTAAAGCACCTGCAGACATGGACTATCTGCCATGATGGCCTCAGGGTACTCAGACTTCTTCCAAGAGGACTCAGGGCTACCAGAAGGAGTGCTCCAAGAGGCTAAATGGAAACTGCAAAGCTTCTTATGCCCTGGTCTTTGAAATCTCAGATTCAAAGAGGTAATTAGATTACCTCTTAGTGGGAGCAGTAGCAAAGAATACGAGACGATCTTTATTCTACCATCTAACATTCTCCTGAGACCTAGACAAACAGAGTCCCTGGGCCTCGGGTGCGGGGGGTGGGGGTGGTCCTCACTTTGAAATGCTATTTTTGAATTTTTCTAAGTCCCCTTTCAGTGGTTGGAATTGTTCCCATCTCTTTCTTCTCCAGGATACTCTCCAACCCTCCGCCTCAGGCATGCGTTGACCAGGTGCTCTGAAAAGCTTTCAGGGCTCATGCTTATGGATTGTCTAGGACAAGCTGGCAAGCAGATTGCTTCTATTGGCCAGCATAGTATTTCTTTTGTGGCATTGCACAAGACAAGCTCACCAGAATGGTATTTACGTGCTAATTTAGAGGTGATTCCCATTCACGTTGGATACAGGATAAGTTCAGAACTCTGGGCTCCTGACAATCCACTACTGAGGTTGAGCCACCTGTGTGGGTCCATGCCATGGCTTTTGCCAGCTTGTGCTGTGACCACAAGGCCACCCCCAGGCTACAATGCACCAGAATAATGCGGTGGCAGTATCCTTTGCCCTGTGTGGGACTCCCCACTACCACCTGGTAAGGGTGGTCAGTCCACTCCATCCACAGGCTTTGCACCACACGTCGGGCCGTCCTCTAGAGGTGAGAATGCCTATCTAATCGCCACTTGAGACCATTGCTCTGCAATGCCAACTTGCTTTTATGATCAATGTCCTTTCTTTCTTTTGATCAATGTAGCAACCTCATGAGCAACCAGGCCAGTCTTAAGCTGGTTCAGGTGGCCAGATATTTCTTGCATGCAGTATCTTGCTCCACCCATTGGACCCTAGCCTATCCACTCTTTCCCCTCTGCCAGCTGGTTTCAGTGTATGGAAGGCAGGGGTGCAGTCAACACTGAAGGAGATCATAACCTAGGAATGCAGTGATTAAGACCTAAAGAATTCAAGAGAAGATATGGTTGGAAGATATTTTATTGCACATTTGTCCTACAAAAAACATTTTTAATTTTAATTTCATTTTTATTTATTGATTTATTTTAGAGAGGAAGGAGGGGGGGGAGAGAGAAATATTGACCTGTTGTTCCACTTATTTATGCATATATTGGTTGATTGTCATATGTGCCCTAGCCAGGGATCAAACCCACAACCTTGGTATATCAGGATGATACTCTAACCAAATGAGCTACCCAGCCAGGGCCTGTACTACAAAATTCTCAACAGTGAATTATGATACATACTCTAGGCTAAACTTGCCATTACCTCTACCTCACACTAATCACACAGTATTCTAATTATCTAGGTAGATATTTCCCTCCCAGTATATTAAAGAACTTCTATGGCAAGTTGGTATCTTACTCATCTTTGTAACACAGACCTTGCATCATATTGTATGAGCTCAGTGAGTATATGTAGGCTGATTCATGAAAAGAGACCACTGGTGACCTTAGAAAACAGTTCTAGTAGAACAAAGGAGAGGTTGGAGGGCAAGTCACTCATAGAAAATGTCAGCAATGTAAATCAATTGGTTGATTAAGTGGTTTAGCCTTAAAAGAATAAGAATTGGGATAGAAAAAAGTGCAGCAAGATGAAGGAATGGAATTCTCTTTTCTTTAGAAGCAGGACTAAACACATATAAAGGCCTAACAGTCTGAGAGGCAGAGGGGAGGTTCTCTGGACTTCAATTTCTTCATCTGCCTTACCCACATCACAGGGATGTTGTGGGGTTCAAAGAAAAACAGATATAGGCATAAACATTCTTTGAGGAAATTTAAAATTCTATCCAACCTTTGATAGCTTCCAACCACCTACAGAATAAAAAAAAAAACTATGAATAAAAATCTAAGCATAACATTTATGATCCCTCATGATCTGGCTCCAACTTTTCTTTTAACTCTATTATTGCCCCAAGTACCCTAAAGGCAGCCACAGGAGATTCATGTTCTTTTCCCCATTTGCTTTTGTTCAAGCTATCCTCTCAGCTTCAAATGCCTCTCCTTCATCTCCACCAAGCCAATACAATAAACATTTACTTAGTGGTAGTGTGTACAAGACACTATTAAAAATCTATTGATTTTTGAAGGCCCTATTCATGTCATTTAAAAGTCCTCAAACACTTGCTGTTCTCCAAACAAATGGCTTTTTGCATAAACTGTAGCACTTATCCTACCTGATAATAGAGCCCAAGGGCATGACTAGCCCTCTCAAGAGAAAATGAAAGATGAGAGATTTGAGGGCTGTGTCTTACTTGTATTCCTACCCCTAATATCTATGCCTTGTCATAGTAGGTGCTCGTTAATAAGTAAATATTAGAATAAATGGAAAAATAATGTTAGGGAAAGAATGTACATGGATAGACAGTCTCTTGAGACACAAAAGTGGGTGGGATCCAGGATACAGGAAAATAGTAGCACCAACTTGTCAAAGGAAGAGGAACGTCTCCTCCCTTGGGAGGAACCACAGATAAACCTAGTGGGATGGAAATGGGTTAGGCCTACGTGGAAAGGCCAAAGTGTCCAAATCCTTCAAGTCCTAATACCAGTGTCACCTCCTACATTAACTCTTCCCTGAATCTCCTACCAGAGCCAATCGCAGCTCGGTTCAATATATTTGAACTTTCTACCTTGTAGACATTTATTTGTAAACATAACTTATATTCTTTCCTAGACTTCGTCCTCTTCGAGGACAGAAGGAACCTGATTTCCCCCTCAGCACTCATGTCACAGTAACCATTCATTCACTGTGGCTTTACTGGATGGGTAAATAGTGTGGAGGTGGGGTAAATGGGCGGTCAAGTGAGCAGACAAATTTGAGATAAGAGAAACTTGTGCTAGAGACTCCAGTGAAGAGCTAACTCTCCAGACCCACAATTAAAGAGTAATGCGAAGCCTAGCAGGAACCCTCCCTAGCCTTTAGGAGAAAAGAGCAGGTATCCGCCCATTCTCCTCCAACCCTGCCCTGAGGACCTCGCGACAGTACTCAGATTGCCCTTACCCGTGCCTGACTCAATGCTGAAGACAGCCTCCAACGAAAACCTATACCTCCTAGTTCCCCATCTAAGGCCGAACCTCTAACTACATTTAACCTTTTTCTCCTGGCCTCTTTTCTCGTTCCCATTCCTTCTCTCCCAACCACCACCACCAGTAAGGCGTGCAGGGGACAGCCCTCGCCGGTAGGGTGGAGAGGGTCCTGAAACCGGAAGCCGAAAGCCGGAAGGAGGGCTGTGAGGACGTGTTCGGAGGAACCCGGAGCCGGACCCTGCAGGGCCGGCGACATGGAACAGCTGTACCAGCAAACGAACAAGTGAGGGCCGCGTTGGGGCGCGGGTGGGGCGAAGCCAGGCTGGGTGAGGCCAGCCCCCCAGGCTGGGGCCTGGGGCTTCCGCCTTTGTGGAGGCCGAGTTCTTCCGCCGGAGCTCTGCTGGGGGCAGTTTGGAAGTGCTCAGTTCTAGGCGGGATGTCCGGCTCAACGGCGAACGGAGGGTCTGGCCTGGGACCAGAGACCTTGTGCCAGATGGCTCCTGGGATCTCCGAGGCTGTGATTACCTGCTGGGTAGACTAGGTGAAGAGAAAGTCCTAGCTACAGGTTATAATACTTCGTCGCACCTGCCAACTCACTGCCCCGGGTTGGTAGAGCTCGTGGAGGAGAGACACTGAACCCTGCACAGAGGAGTTTACCGTTTAGTTGGAGTCAGGGAATATACGAAAACAGAGCAAACATGTAGCAGGATAGCACTGAGGGTCAAATAAGCAGTACCGACAGAATCAGCTTACGCAATTTAGAAGGACCCATCACTGGGCTAATGTCCGAGTAAGTTTCATTATAGCTAGCTCGCAGTCCCTGAACGATGTCAGTCTGCACTCTTGATTGACACTAATCTTGTTGCTACATTGTAATTTTTTCTTTTTTTCTGATTTGGTTTATACTAAAGACCATATTTTTATGGTACAAAGAAATTACCATTCAGTATTACCACTTGTTATTCATATCTAGTTACAGGTTCGTTAAGAAGATCAAATTTTGATTTAGCTTCTTAATTTTAAATTCCTTGGTAGTATCCTTTATTAATATTGTCCTGCATTTTTGGAACTTGCCAACATACGTAGTTGATGATGGTAATATGGACCACACCAATCCTGTTATTTTGGAAAGAACTTAGATGATTTATTTCATTTTTATTGTGGTAAAATATACATAACATAAAACTTACCACTTTACCCATTTCTGAGTGTACAAATCAGTGACATTAAGTACATTCACAGTGTTGTGTAACCAGCCGTTCATTTCCAGAACTTTTTCATCAGCCCAAAGAGAAACTCCATGTATCCATTAAGCAGTATCCTTCCATTCCTCCCTACCACCAACCTCTGGTAACCTCTGTTCTAATTTCTGTCTCTGAATTTACCTATTCTAGATATCTCATAAGTGGAGTCATACAGTATATGTCCTTCTGTGTTTGGCTTATTTCACTGAACATATTTTCTTTCTGTCCACTCTTCCTTCCTTCCTTCCTTCCTTACTCAAGGACATTTTTCTTTTTTCCCCATTGCTTTTAGAAAGAGGGAGGGAGAGAGAGAAATGTTGATCAGCTGCCTCCCGTGTGTGCTGGGACCAGGGATTACGTGCACCTGGACTGGGGATCGGACCCACACCCTTTGGTTAGGGGACTGTGCTTCAACTACCGAGCCACACTGGACAGGGCTCACTTAACGTTTTCAAAGTTCATCTTTGTTGTAGCATATATCATAATATCATCCCTTTTTATGGTTGAATAATATTCCTGTGTGTGTACACAAACCATATTTTGTTATCCATTCATCTGCTAATGGATGCTTGGGTAGTGTAAACCTTTTGGCTATTAGGAATAATGCTAGCATGAATATTGATGCAAACCTGTTTGAGTCCCTGTTTTCATTTTTTTAGAGTGTATGTCTATAGCAGTCCCATTTTAACAACTTCCATATTTATGCTGTAGTTTCGTTCTGATGAAAATACTTAAAATCACAGTCCAAGGGCCTGCAAATGAAATAAAATAGGAACCTGTCTTAATGAATTCATAATAAAAGAAATGCTTTGGAACGTTAGGAAATAAGGATGGTGATCCCCTTACTCTTTCATTTTCTAAGTATTTTGGTTTCTTTTTACTTTAGTGATTAAGTGTTTGGTCTGAGTGGGTGAAAATATATAACCTACTTTGTAATGGTATTAAAATGACAGAATTTGCTCTTACACTGGAGAGCCCTATTTTATATAATATTATAAGAAGGGATTTAAAAAATTAGACCCATGAGTCAACTGGAAAAAGAAACTAAAAGTTATGCCCATGTTACTAAGAAAGGGTAGGTCTTATGCAATAGCAAGGCTCAGTGGGCTAAGTGTGCCTTGTAGTTAACCTGTACAGCCTCATCCAGCTAGTTGATTTGGTTAAAGGATGTTGCTAAGGAGACTGACCAGTTTATTCTCAAGAAGAATTTTGTTTAGAGTCTCAGACTGTACCTGTTATCTGGGTAGCAGGTAGTTGATCACTGAGAAATCTCAGTTGCTCAGTTCTGTGTAGACTTAGGGAGAGGAGGAATACTAAATGGTGTCCCAAACAAGATTGTGGAGTGTAGATGAAGTATGTACCTCTGCAGGCCTCCCAGTAATCTGCCATTGGACTCTAACAGGGCTCACCAACTATTTCTGTCAACGGCCAGATAATAAGTACTTCACACTTTGTAGGCCATACAGTCTCTGTGGCAGCTTCTCAACCCTGTTACAGCAGGAGAGCAGACATAAGCAATATAAACAAGTGGATGTGACTGTGTCCCAGTAAAATTTTATTTACAAAAACAGGCAGTGGGCTAGATTTAGCGTATCACATTGTTAAGTCCTCTACAATGCAATCACTCATTCATTCAGTGAATATTTATTCATTACTACTGTGTGGTGTTGGGCGTCATTCTCTGACAGTGTATCCCTCCCTCAAGGAGTTTCCCTTTTTTCATACTGCAGTGTATTCTAATCTGCCCTCCTCCTCAAGTACTAAACCAGTAGGGGTTCTGGCTCTACACCTCTTTGGCTTGTTTCTCCTTATCTATGAAATGGTAAGTTTTGGGCTGGTTAAACTGTAATGCTCCTTTCAGCTCCATGATACTGGTGATTGAGTGTCTTTAAATGGAAACATGCAGAGTCCTGAGAGCATCAGAAATTGACTTCTGCAGTTGCAGAAATTAATAACTGAAGCTGAATTGACGCAATAGCAACTGAACATATTAATTGTACTGACACTTTGAACCCAATTTGTGGTTATCTCTTGCCATGTCCTTGAAAGTACATTGGGATTAGATAAACATTTTAAAGTTATGTATCTTAAAAACTTCTGAACTGCCTGAACGATGAATGGGGCGGGAGGGGAATGAAAAGCAGAATAAACATTTTATACTTAATGCATTAGGATGAACTTGAAAGAGGAGCCAATAGCCAGGCTTCTGTTTTTGAGATCCTAGTGTTGTAAAGATGCCTCATTTGTTCCCTCTATAGTCCTAGAAATTCTGATTTAGAAATTTTCTTGTATTGCAGGTTTGGAATACAGGAAGCTCTATTTTTTTCTCTGAGTCTGTTTCTGTTTGTTGGTTTATTTTGTTCATTAGATTTGACATATGGGTGAGATCATGTGGTACTTGTCTTTCTCTAACTGACTTATTTCACTTAGTATAACTGCTCTCCAGGTCCATCCATGCTGTTGCAAAGGGTTAGATTTCCTTCTTTTTTACAGCCGAGTGATTCCATTGTATAAATGTACCACAGCTTTTTTATCCACTCATCTTCTGATGGGCAGTTGGGCTGCTTCCATATCTTGGCAATTGTAAATAATGCTGCAGTGAATACAGGGATGCACACATTCTTTCAAATTAGTGTTTCAGGTTTCTTTGGATATAGTCCCAGAATTAGGCTGGGTCATTAGGCAGATTGATTTTTAATTTTGGGGGATAACTCCACAGTGCTCACACCAATCTGCCTCCCCACCAACAGTGCATGAGGGTTCCCTTTCTCTACACTCTTGACCAGCACTTACTTTTTTGTTGATTTATTGGTGATTGCCATTCTGACAGGTATGAAGTGATATCATTTTGGTTTTAGTTTGTGTTTCTCTCATGATTAGTTACGTTGAGCATCTTGGCCATCTGTATGTCCTCTTTGGAGAAGTGTCTTTTCAGGTCCTTTGCCCATTTCTAAATGGGAGTGTTTGTTTTGTGAGTTTAAGAAGCTCTATTTTTAAACAAGCTCCTCAGGTGATTTTGATGAGTAGCTGGGTGTAAGAACTTTACCTATGACAAGACCAGTTTTTCCTTTTTATATTTTTTTATTTTGCTTTCCGATGAGAGGCTAAATACTGTATAGTAGAGGCAAAGTCAATGAGGTAAAAATGACCAGACGGTTTTACTACTTTTCAGTAAAGTTAAAACAACAAACTTGTATGATGCTGTATAGGTTACATAGCATTTTCATATTGCATTTGGGTCTACCACCCTTCAAGTAATTGTCATTGTAAGTGTCCCGATTTTACAGTTGAGGAAACTGAGGTGTAAAGGAGTTAAATGATTTATTCAGTGTCCTTCAGCCAGTACATAGTGGGACTGGAACTCAGCCAGATCTTTTAACTCCAAAACCTTGTTTCCTTCTTATGGTGGTCAGGGGCAGCATGGATAGACTTCTAAACAGCAGTTCTGCTTTAAAATGTTTCCCAGATCTTTTACTGACCCTTTTTAAAAGATCAGCACCAGTGACTTTTGCTTACTTGCTCCTGTGTCTCTTCTTAGTTATGTTATCACCCAGGCCCACCACGGACCCCATACTAGGCAGGACCAGGACTTCCAATTTCTAGTGTCCACAATCCCAGGTCTTATTAATGTGTCATCTGTTCCTTACTGGGTTTGAGTGTGTTGTCTGAAATTCCAGTTCAGTTTAAAACAGATTTTCCACTTGGCACATAGTAGTTCCCACCATGCCACGCATACTTGCTTTGTTGTTTTGCATATATTTTCTCTCAGGCATGAAATGTAGAGATTGGAATCACTTTATTGGCTATATTTTTTTCTAGTTCATTGGGAGCAAAATGAGATTGGATGAGAAAAAATCAGTAATGTTTCCCTGCAACTTCTTAAAGGCTCTCCTTTTTAGCTTAGAAAAGAGTAAAAGTCAGCCGGTGAGTGTTGCAGGCTGCGTTTTGTGGGCGTTGGCCTCATCTCTCCCACTGTTCTCATAGAGTTCAGGAATTGAGAGGGACTGGCAAGAGCTCCCATTCCACCTGTCTGGTCATGAGAACCCTTTGTGTTTAAACCTGCAGGAGCTCTTTTTTTTCCCCTATTCTTGAAGAAATAGTCCATAATAGTTTTGGGGGTTTCTTCCCTTGTGTTGAGCTGAAATCTGTCATCTTGAAATTTGTACCTTTTCATCCTGGCTCTCCCTTAAGGAGCAACAGAGAGCAAGCCTGTTCCTCTTCCTACAGGTCACCTCTAGATAATCTGCAGAGCACCAGCTGCTCCATCTTACTTTTGTTTTCCTTTTCTTTTTCAAGAAGCTTATTATCACTAGCTATTTGGACCGTTTCTCTTCATGACGTGGCTTCTGAACACTTCCCCAGTCATCCCTTTCATCTGCCGTTGGGGAGAACCTTCTGATAGGGTGTTTTAAAAAGGTGGCTCCCAGAATTGAATGTGTTCTAAGTCAAATGCACAGTATCATTTTATATTGTACATTTGACTTAAAAAAAAAAACCCTAAAGTCAAAAAATACTTTTTAATCCCTATTTTAGTCTAAATGGAAAACATTAAGGTTTGTTTTGTTGTACGGTATCCTAACCCCTTATTCTGGCACAAAGTCATGTGCAAATTCCGTTAACATAAGTTGACTTTCAATATTGAACAAAACAGAACCAAAGGCGGCAACGGTGTGGTGGAACACTGGAAATCAGCCCCTCCATCTGTGATATATCATGAAACCTTCACTGTAAGATATCATGAGAAGTTATCAAATGCCTCTTGAAATCAACATAAACTTGCTGTGGTATCCTCAATATGCTGCTCCTTTCCCACCGTAGGCACACCTGTGGTTTCATTTCCCATTTGCCCGTGTATCATTGTGGTTGTATATCCACTTATTTGAATGAGTGAATAGAATGAGTGTCTGAGGGAATAAATAAATAATCCTTGTTAAACCATTGACTCTTAACATTTGGAAAACTATTATATTTAGTTATTTTATCTAGGAAATATTTCAAACATAAAAATAGAGACTAATAGAACTATATGTTAGGACTCATTTAATACATGTGCTTCAGGCCATAGATTTGAAATAACTGAATCCCACACTCATTCTCTTCCCTTTGGAATACACATTCCTAGAAGTAGAATGTTGGTTCATAGGCTACACACATATTTGACTCTATCAGGTATTGTCAAAAGGCTATTAAAACTGTTTCTACCAGTTTATAATCCTACTGGCCATGTATGAGAGTTCTGATTTCCCCATATCCTTATCAACGTGTATTCACACTTTAAAGTATTTGCCAATCTAATGGGTGAAATGTGGTATCACATTGTTCCTGTCAGTAATGCCACCAGTTTTCAGATTTGCTCTATTAGGCTACCACTGAAAATTTACCTCTCTGCCTGCATCCAGGCCTTCAGTAAAGTCCTAATTCGCCCTTCGATCAGCGTTACCGTCCAGTCCTCTGTGGCTGTTTCCGCTGTTACCCTGATCCAGATGTTCGTTACCTAAAGCTGAATTCCTATGTTTGCCTCCATGTCTCCCATTCAAAAATGCCCAGTCTTGCCTTACTGAACTGTCACCAGTCTGGTCTCTCAGACTCTTGTCAGTAGATTTCTAGTTGCCTGTAGTAGTGATTTCTAGGAGACATGGGTCTTGCCCAGGAGCACTTGGGGAGTCATTAGAATGCTGGCCTTGCTTCTGGTGGGTCATGTTTAGAGGCCACAGGAAACCCCTGGAAAAGACCAGAGAAACAAATTTGGGCTCCTGGCTTGCATTGGTTGCTTTTGGAGTGCCAGTTTGTGGTATCCATGGTGAGGGATGGTTGCTGACATTTCCCTCAAGAGTTGGGGATGATATAAGACCTCAGTGGGTCCCTTTCAAGTGGCTCTAACTTGAAGAGACTATAAGCACCAGGAGACCATTATTGGGGGTAGCATAAGCAATTCCAAGAACTGATCCCAGGGGCCGCTGGGAAGGGTTCAGAGGGTGGTCTGGAGCCTGGTGGCTGGGACTATGGCAGAGGCCCAATGAACAGTGTTGCATTTCCGATTGAGATGGCAGTTGCCTCATATTGGCAGGGAAAGACCAAACAGAAGATCCCTTTCTTTGAGGGCCTTCCTCTGATGGTCCACTAATTGCCTCATCCTCCTCTCCCCTCTGACCCCACTCATCCAGGCAGGCCCGCCTGTTTGTTATCCACATGTCCTTGCCTGCCTTTTTGCGTATCATTTTCTTAATATCTTCCGTCACCAAATCATACCTCCCTTCACCTGCAGAACTTCCCCAACTTAACTCTTTCTCAGCCCCAGCCCTTTTGTTCAATTGTCTTTGCTTGGTACCATGTGCTTAGCTCCTCAGCTTTCTATTTGTTTACATATACATGTGTTAGTTTTCTCTTAAATCTTCTTGGGACTTTTCTTGTCTATTTGGCCTGTCGTTCCTAATTACATTGTTTCTCAAGGACAAGGATTATATCTCTCTCACCCTTTGACACTCTCTAATATAGACCAGTGCTCAGCACATTGGGTCAAACAACAGAGAATGGGATTGGCTGGGTCCAAATTGAGGTTTATCACTTGATATGTGACCTTCAAAAAGTTATATAACCTTTCTGGACTTCAGTTGTCTTATTTATAAAATGAGAATGATAATACTTTACTCACAGGGTTATTGACTTTGCAAAATGTCTAAGATGTGGTAAGCACTCAATAAACGCTGCCTATCAGTATTACTATTAATATTAATGTTAAAATATTATAAACCATGCCAAAACATTTGGCATAAAATGCCACATACAAATTTCACAGTCCAGCAGTGCTGTCAGTTTAAATGAGCTACATGTTGGCATCAGAAAAATTGTCTTTCCTGACTGAAACACTGTTGATTACTCCTGTCTCACCCATTTCCTCCCTCTTCCTTTGATAGGCAGGTCCACCAGATCCAGTCTCACATGGGACGCCTGGAGTCAGCAGACAAGCAGTCTGTGCACTGTGAGTAATTAACTGTGGAGACCAGAGTCCTTTCTCTGATGACACGGTGCTAATGGGCTGGGTTTCCTGAGTGCGTTTCTGCCTCAGGGGCTTAATGATTCAGCGTGGAATGAGTTCTGTTGTTAGGGTGCAGAAAGCCCAATGGCACACTCACTGATTTCCCTGATTGTGCCCTTTGGAATCCCTGAGTCTCATCCTCCATTACCCCTCCACTCAACCTGACATGGCCCCGTGGGAGTGGAAGTTCTTTCCTCCATCTATCTTAATCTAATTACCTAGCCCTTAGAGGAATGTGCTCCATAAAAAGTCAGACATGTTTAACTGGAATTGGTCATTTCTTCTGAGCTGAGCACTGTGGTCTTTTAGGAGGATTATTTAGAAATGAATAGCAATATTAATTAGTTTAGTTCCCACACCATGGTTTCTTTCAAGAATAGGGCTGCTTTGTGTTTTTAGTTTCTTTTCTATCATAAGAAAACGGCCTGTTTCTGACGGGGTCCTGCAGACACTCCTGGTCACCCACACATTGCAGAAGTTGTCCTCTCACCTCACTGCGGAGACCTTACGATGCCCATTTCCCCTCCTTTCTGCAGCCGCAGAAGGAGCTCTTCTCTTGGTTCTGTGCCCCACTTTGTTCTAATCTGTATTTGCTAGCTAACCTACCAAGGTGACATTACTGTCATGTCTTTACTGGGTAAGAAGCAATCTGGATGCCTTTTGTGAAGTTTGGTTTCTGTCTGCTGATTTTGTTTGCCTTCCCAACAATCTCATTGTTACATGATTAGAAATGGAAAAGAGGTCATTTTGACGGTTTATCACAAGGGATAAGGAAAATGACTGTTTATCATATCTTTACCTCTGTGGATTCTTTCCTGGGCCTTTCCTACTGATATTTGGTCTATTTTGGGGACTCTGGCATCAGCCCTCCCATTCTTACAGAAAGCCTTAAGGGAACTCTTCTCTATGTTGCAATTACTAATCTTCTCCTTTGTGCTTTTTCTTAACCTCATTACTGTAGGGAATTCAGTTGGATGTCTTTTTACGAGATACTTATAATCTATATCTGAGAATAATCTCAAAGGAAAAGAGGCCTCATTCTTATCAGAAAATACTGCTTTTTGCTTAAAATTTTATTTGGACAACGTTTAAATATTCATTTTATTTTCTAAAGGCAGGAAATTTATTTCTACAGATTTACCCTCAGCTTTAAAAAAAATTGGCATTAACAGCTATATATACATATTTGAAACATTTACAGAGTCACTTAGTATACCTTAGAACTTTTTCCATTATTCAATAGTGTATGCATTTTTCTCCTTTTGAAATACATATTTTTTTAGTCTATTGGATATGGGAAAAAGGTATGTTTGATTTACCATTCTAATTTAAGTTCACTATCTCTTTTCCAGCAATTATTTTTTTTTCTCTTTCGTGCAGTAGTAGAAAACGAAATCCAAGCAAGCATAGACCAGATATTCAGCCATCTAGAACGTCTGGAGATTTTGTCCAGCAAGGAGCCCCCTAACAAAAGACAGAATGCCAAACTGTAAGTGCTCTAACACCCCAAGCCCTTAAGACAGACCTTTCTCCCAGGAGAGGCTGTTGAGTAGTCTGAAAATCATTTTCATATTGAAAAACGGGGACTATGCAAAGATAAAATTCCCATAAAGGGCACGATTCTATTTGCAGGATACTCTCTCAAAATAAAAATTCTGTGACGTTTGTGGCTCAAAAGTTTTGCGTCTCCTTATTCCACTGGTGTCATTTTGAAAGTTTGCCTCCAGTCCTGTTTTTCTGTCCAAATCCACGGTCACTTGAAGCCTAATGCCGCCAGGGAGTTTACTCTACCCTTTCGTTCCCACTACATTCTTGGGTTGAAATGAATCTTGCTCTTAATCACTTCGATCAGTCTAATTATAATGAAATACCGATCTAATGTTTGATAGTCCCCCATGAAGTTAAAATGAAACCACACTCACCACCTCCACCCTAGTCCCTGCTCCCAAAAGTTTTATGAAACGTTGTTGATGCTTTACTCCAAAGATGCCCTTGGGCTTCTTCCAGAAGAGTGATATAATCCATAGAAGGTCAGGAAGAGGTCATCGAGCCTGTTTCCTGTCACCTGTTCCCTGTCATGCATCCAGAATCAGAGACCAGCAGGTATTTAAGTAAAGCTGCTGGAATCTCGTGTGCTACAACCCTGCTTTAACCACAAGCTACTTCTTTATTTTCAACATCATTGATCAAATCAGATTATTTGGGGTTGGGGGGATAGCATGGAGTGGTATAGAAAGAAGTAAGGAAATGTCTTCCTTCCTCACTACAAAGCCTGGCGACCTCCAGCTGTGCTGTTCTGGGCTCCTGGAATGTAATCTCTCTCTCTATTAATTCCAGTCGTGTTGACCAGTTAAAATATGATGTCCAGCATCTGCAGACTGCTCTCAGAAACTTCCAGCATCGGCGATACGCAAGAGAGCAGCAGGAGAGGCAGAGAGAGGAGCTTCTGTCTCGCACCTTCACTACCAACGTAAGCCAGGCACCTGGGTGGGAGGCCGCAGGTACTTGACAGCTTGTTGCAGCTGGAGCTCAGGTCTCTGAGCTTCATCCTTTTAGGTGGTGTCTGAAGCAGACTGATGAGGAGGCCAGCTGGAAATGACGGTGGACTTTGTGCATTGCCACAGACTATATCTAGACAGGGAATCTTTTTTTCTAACACAGAAACCTGAAGAGGAAGCAGTTAACTTGAGGGAATGGACAGAGGTGAAAATTACCCGGTTTGACTGGTCCGATGTAGAGAGGTCTGGTTGACACGGTGGAAACGTTTTTTCTGATCAGATAGAGACAGATGATTAGGACTTAGACCATTTTCAGTGAGGGCCGCATTTCAAAGCTGCCTTCGGGCAGTTGCCATTGTGCTGTGTATGTGTGTGGTTCCAGTGTCAGATGCATTAAAATGTTTTTGTCCCTAGTCTGAGCAGCAATTTTGGAGGAATTTGTTAACAGATATTTTGTTTTAAATGGATTGCTCCACCGGAGTCTGTTTGAAAGTAACCCTGTTTTGGTTTGCATGTTTGATTTTGTAGAACACTATTGTCCCTGCCCTTTGGTCTCAATAGGATCATTTCCTGCACACGGCTGTAGAACATACTGGCCTTTTTTGTATTCTGCATAATATATTCCCCCAAATGAGGTGGGTTTGGGGTGGGGTTTGTTTTTTTTTTATGGAGAGGCTTATATTCTAAAGAAGTCTTAGCTTTCCAAGCTTTCTATCAGAGTTCAAATCAGTTCCCGCTTGCAGAGGTTTAACTCTCTTTGCTGGGTCCATACTTGGAGTAAATTTCCCCAAGTGTTTCAGAATGTGCCTCCGCAGTTTCTGTTTCTCTCGCATAAGCAGTTAAGTAACAATTAACAATTCAAAAGTGTGATGAAGACGTGTTGGTAGTATAGTGGCACACATAGCCGACTTTCAAAAGTGTAATGAACTGTACAACACTCTCAAAAATGTTGTGTAGGCTTTGATTGTTATACAGGTGTTTTTTTAGGCTGGGGGTGATAGCTCAGAATTATTTTGTGTCTTACCCACTTGGTATGATGCTGTGCATACAGTGGGCCCTTAATAAAAACTGACTTGCTGACTGAACTTCTTCCTGGTTATTCGGTGATCTGCACTATCATTTCTCCGAGAGACAGTGGCTCAACAGCTATACCCTTTCAAGTGGGAGAGGAAGGAAGATTTGTACATGAAAAGCATTCAGTAAATGCTTGCCAAATAAATGAAGAGAAGTCTCTAATTAATCCAGATACTGCAGTCTTTTGGCCCACTAAGCATTAGCTGTATGTAGAACACTATTTAAGGTGCTGAGGATAAAGTGTGAGAAACTCCTGTGTTAGTAAGGGGGATTGAAAATGTGTGCATGAAAAATTATTTTGAACTTAAGCATCAAAGAAAAGGTGGTTTAACCTCTTTATGATGATTAAAAGGGGTGAAAATGGCCCTGGTTGGCAGAGGAGTATGTGATTATCATCGGGAGGCAGGGAAAAGAACAGTACTATGGCTGGTCATGACTTGCTTCTGTGTACAGTTCACTTTCGGTGTAAGGTGAGAGCCTAGGATTGGTCTTAATGTGTCTCCCTGCAGATGATAGAGCAGGCCCTGCTCTTGGTACTGGGATTCTTTCCCTGCTGGACTTCTTACCAGCTTTGTGAGACTGAACGAGTTTCTCCACCTGTCTGGGCTTCAATTTCCTCATCTCTAAAATGGGGACAGTGCATTAACTACCTCCTGAGGTTAGGATGAGCCTTAAGTGAGCTTAGGGTAGTGAGCATGCAAAGTGGGAAGTACTTGATCAGTAGCAATTTTTGTCTCCCCTCCTTTCTGTGCAGATTTTTCTTGCCTGCTCAGGGGAATAGTCCCATCTGAACACCATTTGACCATCAGTAGAAAGCACAGTCTCTTTTATCCTTAGTCAGTTTCAGTTGACTTGAAGGGATAGCTGTAGATAAAAGAGCTAAAGAACAAAAGCAAAAAATTAATACTGTTTTAAGGGGAAGCAAGTAAACATTTGGAACAAGATAAGTTAGTGAATAGTAGGAGAAAGACTTCGAGAGAAGCCCATTGAGGTCTTGAAGGAGTAGAGTTTTTTGCAACTGGGGGTATGAGAGGAGGCAGGTGTTAACAAGACTTGTGAAGCAGAAGTCTGAGGAAAGTGAACAGAGGCCGCCCTAGATCTTTGCTTTGCTTTTTCTTCTCCGTTAGGTTCCTCTCATTCTTGTACCATTCCCTCTGCTGTTCTTCTGGCTTGGCCTTGGCCAAAAGGCAGAGCAGTCAGACACAGTGGGACTGCAGGAGCTGATCGGCAAGCAAAGTTAATCAAGTGCCTGCGTTTCTTTCACAGGACTCTGACACCACCATACCAATGGATGAATCACTGCAGTTTAACTCCTCCCTCCAGAAAATTCACCACGGCATGGATGACCTCATTGGAGGCGGGCACAGTATTCTGGAGGGACTGAGGGCCCAGAGAATGATCTTGAAGGTGGGGGCCATTATGGGGGACAGGAAGAAGGCCTCTTGTTTTGGCCTCATCCAACAGTTTGGTGCCTACATTTTCATTTTGATTACATATCCCCAGATTGTGATACCATGATGATGAGTCAGAGCCCTTTAGTTTGGGATCCTTCCTTTTGGCGTTGAATTATTGTGAGTCCAAAAGTAACCAAATTCCCTTTTCTATTAGGTATTTCTGTTGCTTGCAATGAATGACAGTGTGGCATCTTTTGGTATCCGAGTCTTTTCCAATTTGCTGAACTTACTATGAAAGTGACTGCTACTGTGAGAGGAACCAATAATAGACTAAGAAATTCTGTTATAGAATCCACTCTCAGGGGAAGGAAGATGCGACTATACTTTGGCACCTCACTCAGGTGGTGACTGGTAGGGCCTCCACTGTGGACGGCCTTATAACTGAACCCCAGGGGCGGGGGCTCGGGGCTGCCTTGGGCGTTCAGCAGCAGCTGGCGTCTGGAGCACGTGCCGGTGATCCCCAGCGGCGCCTCACCCTCTCTTTAGTCCCAGGTACTGTAGAAACCCTGCCCCATTGGCTGAGACACTAACCCTGTGGGAGCAGTTTACAGAAACATTACACAGGCTCTGATGTCAGTCGTGATGTTTCAGCCTCAGCCCTTTTCCTGTATCAACCCTGATGGATAATGGGGTGTGGACTGTGCCTATTATCAGGGTGTGGTTCCCTGTGAACGAAGCGCTGCCAGCCACTGAGCTGTGAGAAACAGTCACTCGGAAGTGTGAGCCTTATCTTAGTTTTTGTTGGATCATGTTGAGCCAGTCAGCCCCGTGGGTCTTAGGTACATTTCTGCCACCTTTACCAGGGAGAAGGTCAGGCGAGCCACCGAGTGACACGTAACCTTTTGCTGATGGCCGCGGTGTCTCAGATGGTCTGAAGGGTGGTCTCTTGATAGCTTCATGGGTGCCCCCCTTTCATAACAACCACCTGCAGTAACCTAAACTGATACATGTTGATTAAGCCGCCCTTTTGTAGAAAACAGCTGGCCTCATTCCTATATCTCAGAAAAACAGTAAAATTGTCTTAGGACAGGACTCACCATGAAACACTAACGTCGACCAGCGGGGGTTAGAGCTTATTGTTAGAGCAAATGTTGGCTTCCTGCTGCAGTCTGGTATCACCGGGGAGTGCAGGCATCTCCTGCCCCACACAGCCACCAGAAGGGAAGTGCCAGGGAGCCTGGTGCAGCGGTCGGGGGTGGGCCGTGAGCTTTCCAGTCTCGTTCCCTCGGCGTGCCCACCACTACCTGTCTCCTGCCACTTGATTACCTCCACCTGCCTCCCACCCCACCTCTGTCAGAAAACTGCTGCTGTAACCATTTGAAATTAATGTGGGAGAGGACATGAAGGAGCTTGGCCATGATTTGGGGAGAATTTATGGTTGAAAATGTGTATATATATTTTTAAAGTTTATGGTAATTTTTAGGCAATTTTAGGAGCTTGGTACTTGAACTTCAAAAGATGAGGAAATAACCTGTGCTTTCAGAGCTGAGCAGGATCTTTAGTGAGAGTCTAATATTTACCATCACTGTTGTGGCAAAACCACGTCCCTGTCCTCCTCTGGTGATAATCACCTTTGACTTGTGAGATCCCTCTTCTGTGAGGCTTTTAAATCATTGTCTGGGCTGAACCTATGTTTGAATTTCTGTCCATGGTGCCTCGTGTAATTCCCGCTCCTCTTGCCTCTTCTCTCAGTTGCTCATTAATGTGTTGTTCATTTAAAAAATGGATATGGAGCATTAGGTTAGATGCCATCCATACAAAAGCAGTTGGTGGTGTGTGTAGAAGTAACTGCCCAGTATTCATTTATATTTGTTACTTCATAAGAATTTGTGCTAAATATGAAAAGTAGAAAGCAGGGAGGAAGATCACACTGGGTGGTTTGAGCTGCTGGTTTAGTAATAAAATACCCTTTTGTTTTTGATAGTGGGTGGTAACATTTATATGAGGTGTTTTAGGTCATTGTGTTGGTGTCTGTCAGTTGTGTTTCTGTCCATCCACCTTGCCCACTTCAAACCTTCTCATAAACCTGGACGCTGACCCGCATGTTGTACTCAGTAGAATACCTGTGACTTCTACTTTACAAGAGTAAGCAAGGATTTTGGAGCTAGGAAGCAGAGACTAAGTCTTAATATAAAATATCCTAATCTACACATTTATATTGAGCCCTGGCTGGTGTGGCTCAGTGGATTGAGTGCCAGCCTGAGAACCAAAGGGTCACTGGTTCGATTCCCAGTCAGGGCACGTGCCTGGGTTGCAGGCCAGGTCCCCAGTTGGGAGGCGTGCAAGAAGCAACCACACATTGATGTTTCTCTTTCTCCCTCCCTTCCCCTATCTCTGAAAATAAATAAATAAAATCTTTTAAAAATTTTTATATTGAGGTATTACGTACATGCAAGGAGGTGTGCAGATCTTATTCGTACAGGCCATTGAATTTTGACAAATGCATGCACATTTGTAACTCACACTGCTGTCAAGACATAGCCATTTTCATCACCCCTAAAAGACCCCTGGTGCCTGTTCCAAGTCAGTCTGCCCCTCCCCCGAGGCAACCACTGTTCTGATTTATTTCACCATAAATTAATTTTGCCTGTTACTGAATGTCATATAAATGTGTTCATGTTTATTTTGCGTGTGGCTTCTTCCTCTCAGGAATGTTTTCCAGACTCATTCATAATGTTACATGTTGGTAACTAGGTTCTTTTTATTACTGAGCAGTATCCCATTATCAGATAGATCACACATTGTCCATCTTTTGGTGATGTACACCTGGATTCTTCCCACTTTTAAGATAGTCTGTGTTTTCTTCTAGAAGCTTTATTATAGTTTTAGCTTTTTTGTTTAATTGTATAATCCACACTTTTGTATCTAATGAATCGAGGATCATTTTTTACACATACAAATATATATATGATTTATATGAGACTTATGTCTGTGTGTGATACATATATGTGATACATATGTAACCAGTTATTTCAGCACATTTGTAGAAAAGGCTTTTCTTTCCCACTTGAGTTGCTCTGGTATCTTGATCAAAAGTCATTTGATCGTATGAGGGATCTACCTCTGGCTGGTGCTGCTTTGCATATGCTTTAGGCATGGCCAAGAGACTGTTGTTGGTAAAGCCCCATCTCATACTGATGTTCTCCCACCTTTGGCAAAACGAGTTGATCTTTGTTTCTTTCTCTTCTTGTCTCCCCAGGGGACTCAGAAGAGGATCCTTGACATTGCCAATATGCTGGGCTTGTCCAACACAGTGATGCGGCTCATCGAGAAGCGGGCTTTCCAGGACAAGTACCTGATGATCGGTGGGATGCTGCTCACCTGTGTGGTCATGTTCCTCGTGGTGCAGTACTTGACATGACTCAGCTAAGCCCAGCAGCCGGACAGCGTTCCCACTGCATGAGTGTGTGCGTGTGCGTGAGAGAGACTGGGGGGCCCAGAGGCCACGTTTTGAAGTGTATGTTCATCTTAACTGTGAAAACCACTCAGAAGTAATTGTGATCTGTAACCTAGTGAGAGTGTCAAGCCTGCTCTGTTTTCTGTGGCATCTTGGAGGGGAAGCTAGTGCTACCAAGTTTGTGGTGCATAGAAAATGAACGAAGTACCTATTCTCTCTCACTCTTACTCTCACTAGGAGAGGAAGTAATTTAAGGGTAAGGGATGAAGAAGGAAGGGAGGAGAATGGTTTTGGTGGTTTTGTCCAAAGGGCTGGTGCGTGCCCCAGGAAGGCTTTCACGGTGACCCTTGTGGACAGGACTGTCTGCACTTTGTCATCATCCAGCCTCTCTGGCTCCTGATGGATAGGCTGGAGCAGCAATGAAGAGGAGGAGGGGAAATAAGTCTTCTTTTCCTGCACCCATTCTAGTAAATGGACTACATGATCTTGCTACTAGCCACCCAACCCGTAAAATGACAAGCAGATGACTGACTGCCCATACTTGTCACCCTTCCCCAGAAGCAGCTACTTAGAGGAAACAGGCATTGATGTTGCTGTTGACGAGTAAGAGTTTCCACATTACAGCTGTTGGGTGTTTCTCCTTTCTAAAGTGAGGCCACTGTTACTTTCTGGGTGTGTTCAGTCCTGAGACTAGAGACCCTAGTTATGGAATTTTTTTTTTTTTTTGTAGTTAATAGAATGGTTGGCTTTTAAGGTTCTAAGACTGTAGCCTGGCACCCATGCCCAGGCTTTGTTGGGCATTTGCCTCTTAGAAAGCTGCAAGCAAAGGAAAGTGATCTGTCAATTATAGTCTCATTTCTAGTTTTAGCATCTCCGATTCTTTGGCTTTCTTCCCTTCCCTTGAAGTACATTAGCAGCTGCCAGCCAAGCCCCGATTCTGCCCAGTCACTGTGGGCAGATGCCACCCTAAAACTGTCTGTGGTGTCCTTGTGAGACTCTCTTTCTAGGGACCAGGACCTTTTTCCTTCTCTGACCAACCCTGGATTAAGACTGTACAGTATCTGGTGTATTATGGAATTTATTGTAAAGCTAGCCTCTCTATTTTGATTACTTGCTGAAAGTACTGGAAAGACCTAGTTAACATTTTTTTATTGAACACGGGCCTTTCTAGCTCTGTGCTCGGTAGCTTTATGGCAAGACATAAAATAGCACTCACAATGTCCCAGGAAACTGGAAACCTGGCCAGTGTTACCCTACCTTTGTCTTGCTCTACCAACAGTCATCATTTCTTGTTACTTGGACTATCTTATGTCTTCTTTCCCTTTTCTGTGTGTTCCATTCCACCTCGCTCATTCCCCTCCCACCTGTAGCAGTATTAGTATTTTCAGCTACATCTGTGACACAGATCCTCTTTTGGTAAATGTTTCTTAATACCCATGGATTTCTTGGGTAGTGATACCACACTTTTGGTGGAATCTCTGTTGCTCTGGGCCCTGGGTTTCCAAAGAAAGGGGAATCCTAAAAGGATTGGAGGTCCTGAAAGAATGAAAATGGCGTCCTGGAGAGCGGAGAGAGGGGGTGAGGCATCTTCAGGCCTAGATCTAATTTTGGGGAGGTACAGTTTGAAATTTCCCTCACACCCAGCACCCCTGCCATCCTGGGGACCTACCATAGGGCTCTTAGCCATTTATAAAATGGGTTTTTAAACTGCACAAACCTGGCTGTTCTATTCCCTTGAAGATCTTCCCAGACTGTGTACTTTGGAGGAAGGTGTACAAGGAGCAGCTTCCATGTGGACTTGAACTCTGGAAAACCAAAAGTCCCCCCCCCACTCTCTCCTCCATTGTCTGAGGTGACATCCATTTATTTGTAGTCACCCCACTATGTTCCACACTTTGTAGTGATTATTGGCCTTGATGAACCAGGAGTAAGGCCTTCCCCCACCCTCAGAGCCACTCTACCTGCCTTTGTAATAAAAATTGTGGAGGTATTTTGTGGGTCTTGGCCATCTTGGGCTAGGAAACAGCCACAGTGCATCTGTGAGAGAAACATCTTAGCCTAACCCTGCTGTCTCCATAGTCCCAAGTATAGGAAAGGGTCCTAGGCCAGGGAAGGAGCGCCTCCTAGTGGACCCGGGGTGAATTATCAGGTTGAGCTGGTGCAAGAATCTGTTGACAGCCTCTGACCTTGTGCAGGCTGTTGGTACAGGTTTGTCTCTGGAGGTTTGAGACAGGTGGATTCTCAAGGAACTTGGGAATATCTTCTTTCTGTGAAATTTACTTGTATGACCACCTTAAGAAACACCAAACTCAAAGACCAAGTAAGTAGGAGAGTCTTGATTTTTATAGGCTTTATTGCTCGGTTTTTTCCTAAGTCCTTTGCCCTAATGACTTAAATGGGTTTGATTCGCAAATTTGGACTTGAACCCATTGTTTTCCAAACACATCGGCTAAATAAAGTTGAGATTTATTTTATTTAGAATACTATGTTTTGTAAAGAAATTTGACATTCATTGTTCAAACTAATGATCCCTTTTTCACATTTCCAGGCAAGACATTCTCAAATACTGTTCTGTGGCTAGGGTCTTGTCTGGCTGCCTCAGAAGCAGCTCGGAAACTTGTAATTATAGATTCTTGGAGCCTACCCCAAACCTTCTGAATCAGAATATTTGTCTTAAAGGTGATAGCATTTGAAAAGGTTTGGTAAGCTAGTTCAGCATATGAGGTCTGTCCATAAAGTGTCTGGCCATATGATATGAAAAACATTCATTGAAGGAGATACAAGAAACATTGTACACAGGACATCACCTCAGTCCCCTTTAAAGTAGGCACCTTAGGGCCACATACAGTTCTCCTAATTGCCATTACCTGCCCTGTCATATTTTCCTGAATCTCATCGACAGTCTGAAATCTCTTCCCTTTTAAAGGTGATTTTAGTTTTGGGAAAAGCCAGAAGTTGCAAGGCGCGAAATCTGGTCTGTAGCAGGGGCTGAGTGACCTGGGTGATTTGATGCTTCGTCAAAACCCTCTGCACAAGACGTGATTCATGAGCAGGCAGGTTGTCGTGATGAAGCTGCCAATCACCAGTTGCCCATAGCTTCAGCCTTCTGAGCCATCCAAATAGTTTCTGTGGAGGAATGTTCAAGCTTGATACAAAATTTGATGCAGAGTCATTGCTCTGCTTGCTTAGTCATTTTGAAAGCGATGGCCACACAGTACATATGCTCACTCAATGGAGTCTACTGCCTCCACTGACTAGTACAGTGAAGTCGTGATTTTTTTTACACATGCATATTCCCGTTCACTCTCCTTGGCTGCCAGGTTACATCGATGTTGCACAAACTGTCCTCGTTATGTTAGCAATGGCTGGGCTTTATCCCGACGGACCTTAGATATGTGTGAAGAACAAAACTTACAAAGTCCTCAGTAAAGTCTTATTTGTTCATATCTTGTCCTATTCCAGAAACGATGTGAGGAAACTTACAGAAAATAACTAAAACAGTAAAAATATAAAGATGTGAGGACCAAGAACAAATCAGTAGAATGTCAGTACAAAACTCAAATATGTCATGAATCCCTTCCAAAGTGCTCTGGGGAGTCCCTAATTTGGCTTCAGGCCCCAAGAGCCAAAGCAAAGAGAGAAGCATGACCTGTTAGTATTAAGCGGGTAGAGGATGCCGTATTCAAGGGAACACTCAGACCATTAATAACACTAGCTTACCTGGGGCCCTTACTGGAAAGCGGGCATGGTTATTTTCCTGGCTAGACCCTTTAGTTGGCACAAACCCTCTGAGTTAGGTGCTGTACTATCCCCATTGTGCATATGAGGAGCCTGAGCTTTTAGTGACTTGCCCAAGGTCCCACGAGGAGTACCGGAGGGGCTAGGTTTTCTTTTGTAGGGTTTCGTAGTCTGAACTCAATCACTGCGCTCACCTGACTCCCTTGCTCGGTATGAGGTGCGGGAGATCAAGGCACCCTGCCAGGATTGGATATAGGGCTAAAAGGCATTTGCTGCACCTTATATAGCAGGCTCTCTGTCCGAAAGTATTTTCCTAATTGAAATGGAAGAGGCAATTTGGCCAGGAGCTTCTGAACTGGAGAATGGGAGCTGTACTTGGGCTTCACCACCAGAGGGCGACATAACCCTATCGGTAGGTCTGCCCAGAACCAAGTGTCAGGCCTGGTGTTGGAAGAAGAGGAAACAAGTGCAGATTTGGTTCGGTCCTTTTCAGGTCCAAAATTGCAAGCTCAGTAGCAACTCTGAGCTGTTCTCGGAGTGGTCAGGGTATGGCCAAAAGACCTTTCAAGTTACAGTTCTAACTTCTAGAACCCTTTCCGTCTCCTTAGTACAGGCACAGGTGAGCATTTTGCAGACAGGCATGGAAAACATTTCTCATAGTGTGTTCATTCCTTCTCCCCTTTTGGTGCCCTTTCATTTTACATATCACATAGGACAAGAGGGAAGTGGGGTGGGTGAGTCTGGCAGATCCTTGGCCCCGTCGAGTGCAGTCGGTAAGCCCCCTGCCACAGGGCCTCTGAGCAGGCCCCTCCGCACTTCATCCCTAGGCCCTTTGGCACAGGTTCTCAACCTTGGTTCTACACTGGGCAGCCCTTCCCACCTCCTCACTGCTTCAGGACCCAGCTGCCAGAGCCCTGGCACATGCCCAGCACCATCACATTGGCCGTGTCAGGGCAGGCAGAGGGGTTGGAAGCAACCTGTGCCCTCTGCTCCTGGCAGTAATTAAAGAACCAGCAGTGAAAGCCCTGGATCCCGGATGCAGACAGTTGGCTTCGAGTCCCAGCCAGCCTTGATGATGGCAGGCACCCCTGAGACTCATCTTTCCCCTCTTAGAATAGGGTAACCCCTGTCCCACATCCCTTCCCAGGATGAGTAGGGGACCCAAAAGACTGGCAGACTCTACAGGTCTGCAGCAGGAGTCTCAGCCTTGGCTGAATTGCAGTCACCTGGAGAGCTTTATCCGTCCCCACTCTGGGGCTTGTCCCCAGAGGTTTTGAGTTCCTTGATCTGGGGTGTGACCTAGGTTTCAGGAAAAGTTTTGTTTAACTTTCCAAGAGATTCTCCTGTGCTGTCAAAGTTGAGAACCACTGCCCTAAGTGCCCTCTAGGCGTGATGGGTTGTTATTCCTCTTGAAAGGCAAGAATTATTTTTTTCAAATAAAATGTTTTATTTTGGGGGGGGGAGGGAGAAAGAGAAGGATCGAGAAACATTGATGTGAGAGAGAAACGATCGGTTTGCCTCTTTTTCATGCCATGACCAGGGACCAAATCCCTACAACACACGTGTCCTGACCAGGAATCAAACCAGCAACCTTTCACTTTGTAGTATGGTGCCCAACCAACTGAGCCACACTGGCCAGAGCACAACAAGAACCATTCACATGGAATAACCAGAGGACAAAGGAACAGAATCTCCACGGCTGAGGGACAAGAGTTTAGAGTGGCTGTGGCAGTGGGGCATCAACCAGGAGGGGCTTCCCGGGGGAGAGCAAGGTGGTCAGGGTGACTGAAGGAGAGGAAGAACTGGAGCAGTGGCGGGGGGGGGGGGGCGGGCAGCATGGGGGAGTTAATAGCTCCAACCAGCCGTCGCCTGCCGAAGGCTACGAGAGAGCTGCTGGGGGCGCGGACAGCTACCGGCTGCTTGGCCTACAGCTTCCTCACACCAGTTCAGCACATCCAAGAAATGATTGCTGCGCAGAGGCCAGCAAAGCCTGAAACGGAGCTGAATCCTTGTGGGCTGTGACTCAGAGTCAGACAGGGTGAGCTGTGCAGAAGGGAAGCTGTTTCACCCGCTGCTTTTCCTTTTCAGCCCAGGTAGTGGTCTCCACATCCTTTCACCCAAGACAGCTCGGGCAGAGCCCACCCTCTGGCCCCACTCACCTCCTGGCACCTTTGGCATGCTCTGCGCCCAGGGCATGTGCAGGGACAGAGGCAAGGGGTCAAGTAGCTATGGTGAGTTCCGGGTCCAAAGACTGAACTGTCATTTCAGTCCAAGTTGGCTGCTGAGCCTGAGCACGATCAGCATGTGAAGTGTCACCTCGCGGTGATTTGCAGGAGCTGTAGCCTGCTGCAGGGCTGTAGCGGGTTCTGCCTCCAAAGTAGGCTGTGGAGTTAGAGTGAGCTCCTGGTAAACGCTGAACTTTGACTTCAGTCAAGCCTAGCTGCCGAGCCCGTACAGGCCCTTGTTCTAGAAATGTCACCTACGGGTGCCTTGGGTTAGTTGCAGTCTGCTGCGGGACTGTTGGATGTCCATCCTTTAGAGTAGGACCTTGAGTTTTGGTAAGCCCCAGGTCCGAAGGTTGCTTTTGTTCTGGAGGTAGAACTGTCACAGCAGCATGGACTGGGTGTTGCACTGCTACCTTTTTAGGTGGCTCTAGAGGCTGAGCTGGCATCTCCTGCTGGGATGGAGACAATCCTATCTTTCAAGGGGCTGTGGAGAGACCTCTTGCTGGGTTTAGGTTTGACCTCTTCCATGTACTTTAGAGGATTAGCTGAGACCTCTTGCTCAGTGTCAGATCATTCAATCTCCTTAGAAAGCTCTGGAGGTATCAAAACCTCCCAGATCCACGTCTTTAACATTGATGTCAGGCAACACTGAATGCTGAGCTTCACTCGAGCCTAGAGGTAAGACTCACCTCATGAAGGTTGTGCTACAACACCCATAGAGAATCTTGGAGGCTGAGCTGGACCCTTCCGCTTGACTGGAGAAGGTTCTACACCAAGAAGAGGCACTTGAAGCTGAGCTCCTGCTGGATTGAAGAACAATCAACAATTTCAGGAGCGGTTTGGTTGGATGCTGACCTGGAACCCTTTGGTGGACTGACGAAGGTTTCAACAGCTCAGGAGACACTGTAGACTGAGCTGAGACCTCGTGTTGGGATGGAGAAAATACAAATCCCTCAGGAGTCTGAGCTGAAGTCTGAGCTGAAGCCTCCTCCTGTGTTGAAGATGGTTCTCCCTCCTCAGCGGCTTCTGGCTGCTGAGCTGGAGCCTCCCGCTGGTTTGTGGAAGGGTTATTTAACTTCTCCAGGTTGCTCTGGGTGTGGAGCTGGGGTGTCCTGCTGGGTTAAAGAAGATCCTGCCACACTAAGGCAGGCTCTGGAGGCCGAGCTGAGGCTTTCTCCTGGGTTGGAAAAGGTCGAGCTTCTCCAAAAGTCAGAGGGCTTACCTGGGGCCTGCTGAGGGTTTGGAGAAGGTTCTACTTCCTCAGGGGACTCCGTAGGCAGAGCTGAGGCTTCCTGCTGGAGCGAGGGAGGTTCAACCTTTTCAAAGGTATTTGAAGGCTCAGGTTGAGGGTTTTGCTGATCCCAAGACCAAGGCTCAGTCACGTTGGAAGGACAGAGGTCAGCAGGACAGGGACAAGGGCCAATTCGGGGCTGAGCTGCCTGGACTAGAAGCCACAACACCTGCTGTGTGAAGAGGAGACCTGGGGCGCAGAGATATAGCCCAAACGTGAC